CAAATACAGGCATCCAGGACAACATCATCAGCTTTAACTGAAACGAAGTAAAATTCTGATTTCCAGTACTAGTTGCTTATATCATTACAGAAGAAAGGTATTTTGAAATGAGAAACAGAATGAAAGAGAAGATAATATTTAAGAAATTAGTGGAAGTAGTAAAACTGTTTTAATAAAATAATGAAAAATTAATAGTATTTTAATAAAATTATTAGTAGTAAAATTATTTTTAATAAATTTTTGGGTCCATTAAGTCGTATACATTTCTTACCATTACCACAACTGGACCTCCCCAAATCACTTTCTACAATACCCTCTATTTAAATCGGATACGCTATGGGATTACTCGTGTGTAAAATAAAGATACACTTACTAGAAGATACTCCACTCGCGTCTGTCCTCGAAACAAACAAAAGCATTGTGCTACAATCAAATAGCACAAGAAAATGAAGACAGTGAATGAGCAGACAAAAACAGCCACGCAGAAGAACTGTTTGAAATTGATCACTCGAAGAAGCAGCGCCAAATGAGGCACAATTAGCTCCCAAATTTGCAGCGGTGAGAAGCCACCAAGCGCTGTCCACATAAATGACCAATTCCATCTGAACGAAACAGACGTAAAAGTTAAAATAAATACGATAAAAGTTCACAGTAACCCGTTCAATAATGCACTGTGTGTGTGTGTTTGTGCGTGTGTGTGTGTGTGTGTGTGTCAACCCACTTTCAACTCGAGACCCAGAAAAGCTAGAAGGCTGAAACTTTGGGAGTACCTTTTTTTGTATCACTTTTATTATTTTGCATACTTATAAATATGTATATATGACTAGGTGTCTTTCACTCACACACACTCACACACACACACACACACACACACACACACACACACATACATACACACACAATTACAAACAGGGCAGGCTATTAGCATAGAATATTAACTTTTAGGGTAGCGATAATAAATCCAATAAAATTTTTTGATTTATTTGGTCAAATTTGGAAAAGCGGCAGTAGCAGTTTCCGCATTTAAACTTACAGCATACAAACAGTGGCGATGATCCAGAAGTTGCAAATAGCATTGATGTAGTAGCGTTGATTGAAATGACCTATGCAAACTGCCACAAATGAGCAGTGATGATCGCGGCGAAATGCACACTTGTTACACACTGCAAGACAGAGACAGCAGTAGAAATGCAGGTAACGTATGCACAGCAGAAGTGCAAAAAAAAAGGCCAAAATTGATTTTCTTCGGCAAATCACATATTCGTTTAAACATTACAGAATGGGGTACTGTACTGATGATTCCCACCCC